TGTTGTTATTTTGTTGTTGTTGTTGTATTGACTTCACCCCGCCTGGACTTCACCCCGCCTCTCCTCACCCCGCCTTGCTTGACCTGACTGCTGGATGTTGTTGTTTGTATTCCTGAATTGATTATAACTTATCTGACCGAGAGTTGTTTATTTTTTCTTTTGTTTATTTGATCTTATTTCATTTTGTTTGTTTGGACTTGTTTTTTGTTTGGCGTATTTAATTTTGTTTCTTTTTTTCTTTGATTGTTTGTTTTACTGCCGAGTTTTCAGATAGTCTTTCTTGCTGCCCTTAGTTCTTAGTCCTTTCCCTGCCCTTAGTCCTCTCACTGCAGCCCCCAGTGCCCTCAGTCTACAGTCCTCTTTCTCCCCTGCCACCCGCCCACAGCCCTCACCCCACAGCCTTAGTTACAGTCCCTTTCTCTGCCACCAGCCCACAGCCTCCACCTCAGCCTCACCTCAGCCCCCCACCCTCAGCCCTCTCGCGTCCTATATACAGCTCACCTCAGGGTCACTATCCCTCAGTAATTCTTATATACGATCATTTCTCACATTAATATTTAGAAGCGTGTTTAGTTACGGTAAAGTCTCGGGGCAAGTTTAACGTCATTTTGTTTACATATGCCGTAGTTCAGGTGAGTTAGAAGTAACCTGGCGAGTACACCTGTCTAATTAAAGGGCAATATGACTAATTAAGAAAGACTAAGTAGAGTTATTTTTCTCTCCTTCCTGGTGTCAATAAGAACGTATGTACAGTACCTAGTGGTATAGTCTAAGTGTCGTTTTAACGCCATATATGAACCTGGTAAGATAAGTTCTCATAAATACAGTTAAAGGTGAAGGGAGGGGGTAAACATGCGGTGGGGGGAAATTCGTCTAAGAAAATTCAAAACGGGGAAAATATTAAACTAAGATTGTTGTGAGTTGGGGAGTGGGGGGTGGGGGGTGCTCATGGTGGTGATTAAGAGAGGAGTAAAAAGGTTTGTTATTGTTGTGGTGTCATGGTTAACGAGGTCATTATTCACCTAATGATGTGTGTGTGTGTGTGTGTGTGTGTGTGTGTGTGTGTGTGTGTGTGTGTGTGTGTGTGTGTGTGTTACCACCTGCTTCATTTACCACCCACCTTCCGTCTTGGGTAAGTCCTGCTGCTTACATCCTACCCCACACCCCTACCCTAGCCTACCCTACCCTACACCCTACCCTAGCCTACTCCTACCCTACACCCTACCTACTCCCACACCCCACTCACCTACACCCTACCCCACCCTACACCCTACCCAACCCTACCCCCCACACTCTACCCTAGGTAGTAATCTCGACAGGAGCTGCCATGCACAGGCCAACCGGCTATTGCAGACTCTTATTTTCTTATGTTCTTATGTTCTATACCCCCACTTACCCTATACCCTACACCCCTACCCTACACCCCTACCCTACTCTAGATGCCTACCACAATACTGACTGACAGGCCGTGAGATACCGACCCCGTAGTCTCCTGTTATTGCGACAAGATAGGAGCCAGGAACATTATCAGGGCGCCGGGAGTGTTCTGTTCTTGTGTTCTCTTGTTCTTACACTTGTTCATCATTGTTCTGTAGTGTTCTTGCTGGTGTTTGTTTGTTTGTGGTGGTAGTGTGGGTTGTGCAGTTTGAGTGTGTGAGTGTGTGTGGCAGATAAACACACACACACACACACACACGTCTACAATGTTCAACACTTCATAAGATAAACAAAGTGTGACCATAAGTGAGGCAAGTCTTTAATATTTTGCCACCATCCATCTCTCTCTCTCTCTCTCTCTCTCTCTAAGCCAGGAGAGAAGGTTTTATGGTCAGGGAGTATTCATATAAATAAATCCCGTAGGAGGCGCTGCTGGTGCCTGATAATATCTTCATCCCTCTACCGCCTGATGGCTCTTGGGCGGCGTCGGGGTGGTGGTAATAGTCGTGGTAGTAGTGGAGGAGGTGTGGTTGTAGAAGTGTATGGTGGTGGTGATGGTAGTAGTCGTGATGGTGACAGTCGTGGTGGTGATGGTAGTAGTCGTGGTTGTGGTAGTCGTGGTGGTGATGGTCGTGGTTGTGGTAGTCGTGGTAGTGCTCCCCGGAGACGTATGAGGTGTTAACAGTGTCGTCATCTCAGGTTATTGCTCCTTAATTAGCCTATCTTGCTTACCTGATCGCCGCCGCCAGCCTCACTCAGGTATCGTCCCACGTGGAGTGAGGTAATTTCACCAGGTGTGTCTCCCCACCTCCTTTAGCCCCGAGAACTGGTGAGATATACCTGTGTGTGGTGATTAGGAGTGTGAGGTAACCTGTGTACCTGTGTGGTGATCAGTGTGAGGTTACCTGTATACCTGTGTGGTGATCAGTGTGAGGTTACCTGTATACCTGTGTGGTGATCAGTGTGAGGTTACCTGTATACCTGTGTGGTGATCAGTGTGAGGTTACCTGTATACCTGTGTGGTGATCAGTGTGAGGTTACCTGTATACCTGTGTGGTGATCAGTGTGAGGTTCCTGTATACCTGTGGTGATGAGTGTGAGGTTACCTGTATACCTGTGTGGTGACCAGTGTGGGGTTACCTGTATACCTGTGTGGTGATGAGTGTGAGGTTACCTGTATACCTGTGTGGTGATCAGTGTGAGGTTACCTGTATACCTGTGTGGTGAGTGTGTGAGGTTACCTGTATACTGTGTGGTGACCAGTGTGAGGTTACCTGTATACCTGTGTGGTGATGAGTGTGAGGTTACCTGTATACCTGTGTGGTGATCAGTGTGAGGTTACCTGTATACCTGTGTGGTGATCAGTGTGAGGTTACCTGTATACCTGTGTGGTGATCAGTGTGATGTTACCTGTATACCTGTGTGACAGTATGAGGTTACCTGTATACCTATGTGGTGATCAGTGTGAGGTTACCTGTATACCTGTGATGAGTGTGAGGTTACCTGTATACCTGTGTGGTGATCAGTGTGAGGTTACCTGTATACCTGTGTGGTGACGAGTATGGTGAGATACCTGTATGGTGATCATCGCAATCAGACGGGCTGTCAATCATGGTAGGGGCGACTCCCTTATCAACCTCAGGTCCTGACGAAGGTTACACAGTGTTGAATATTTTCCGGCAGGAAGAAGAAGAGGGGGAGGAGGAGGAGGAGGAAGAGAAGCATAGAAGAAAATAGACATGGAGAAAGAAGGGAATGAAGAAAAGAAGGAGAATTAATAGGTAGAAGATGATAAAGAAAAAGATGATGATGATAATGAAGAGAGGAAACGAAATAAGAAGGAACTGTGTTTTTACCAACTCTTAAGGTTAGGTTAGGTTAGGTTAGGGTGCTGTGTGTGTGTGTCGTGGCCTAGCTGATGCTCTCCACCCCTCCGTCACCGCCACCGCCAGGCAGGTAATCTCAACACGCTATAAAAAATCAATCCATTCTCAACCGGTTATATTCTGGAATAAATTTGATGCTGGTTTTATAGTTAAGGTGTGTGCGATTTGGTTACCCTTCCTCCTCCCCCCTTCTTTCCCCCTCTTCTTCCCCTCCCATCTTTTCCCTCTCCCTCCTCTCCCCTCCTGAGTGAGGTGTTGGTGTACAATGTTAACGCCTAAGATCCTCCTTCCTCATCCATCATCCACCTCCCTCATCCAGTACTCGCCTCCATCACCCACCTCCGTGAGATATGGATTCATTATTGGTGTGTGTGTGTGTGTGTGTACTGTATATATGTATGTATGTATGTATGGCATTTGTGGTCACCATCATCACCACCACCACTATCAAAAGCTACAGGTGGGTGGTTGATGGTAGTGGTGACGATGGTGGTTGATGGTAGTGGTGACGATGTTGGTGGTAGTGGTGACGATGGTGGTGGTAGTGGTGACGATGGTGGTGGTAGTGGTGACGATGGTGATGATGGTGGTGGTAGTGTGGGTTATTGTGGGCGTGGACACTCAACTTGCCTCACTCGGGTGTTGCCCGCACACACCTCGCCGCCCACGCCCCTCACTGCACCTATTGTTACCCGCATCTCCTCCCTTCACTGCTTCTCAATCAATCCCCCTTCTTCGTGTGTGTGTGTGTGTGTGTGTGTGTGTGTGTGTGTGTGTTTTATGGTACAATAAATTATTAATTTTTAAGTTACATTGTGTTGGGTCACTCCTTCCCCTACCACATATACAGGTACAGGTGTAGATACATATGTGCTACATAGACAGGTACAGGTACGATACAGGTACAGGTACAGAAGTACATAGACAGGTACAGGTACAGACACAGGTACATAGACAGGTACAGGTACAGCACAATCCTTCCTGCAATATAAACGAACTGCGCTGCCCGATAACATCTTGACCAAACTAATTATTGGTCAAATATATTTTCCTCGACAACATTGTATAAAATGAACCTAACTGGACTTGTGTGTGTGTGTGTGTGTGTGTGTGTGTGTGTGTGTGTGTGTGTGTGTGTGTGTGTGTGTAAAGAGAGAGAGGAATGTAATAATTAAATTGTCTCTTAATAACCTCTACGAGAATTAGTCGGAGTCACTCACCTTCGACAAACTGTTCACCTTGTAGTCAATTAATTGTCCGTCCGTGTGTCGTGTAGCTGTGGTCCAAGTGCCCAGCGAGGCGAGAGAGACTTATTGGCTATCGCAACCCCCGAGCCTTCCAAACTGGGGTGTCGCTAATGGTCAGTTATCAGGAGGTAGAGGGAGGGCCGGTGGGGCTGGGGCTGGTGTACTACTGCGCTGCATTTGAATAGATAAAGAGAGGATCCAGTAGTCTCTCTTGTTGCATGAGGTGTTCGATCCTCTTATAGCCACAGTGAGAGAGAGGTTCAGGAGGATAAATATAGATGCTGGGGGTTTCTGGAGTTTATTGGCATTTGTTTTTATCGGTGGTGTGACGGCGTTCGAGGGTGCACTGATTTTTTCCGGGGTGAAATTTTGAATGTTATTTTGTCTTGTTATTTTAAGGTATATTAAGTCTCTTTTTTTTCTGTTACAGGTACGTAATACTGAGGACCCCGCTGCACCACCTGAGCACCAGCCTCCCTCTAGTGCTGGAGGCTCACCTGCCTACCTCAAGACACCCTCACCTCACGCCCAGGTACTCTATCTTTCTTGTCATCTTCGTTGTCGTCTTTCTTCTTCACATTTTTCTTTCTCCTCTTCCTTCTACTCCCCCCCTCCACTTCCTCCACCTTCTCCCACCCTTCTCCTCCCACCTCTCTCCCTCGTCTCTCCCACCTCCACTGTTCATTAATCTTTACCTGCCCGGGAGTCTGTGTGTGTGTCGGTATGTTTGGGTGCAGTGTGAACTATGATGAAGGCGACTGTGACTCTTGTTGATATATTGTTTGTGTCAAGGGTCATGTTGTTTAACCTATTACCATCGTCTGTGTGTGTGTGTGTGTCTGTGTGTGTGTGTGTGTGTGTGTGTGTTAGGGCTAGACACAGTAGCAGGTGTAAGGCCGCTGGGGTTGTCCTCAGCCTCACCTGGCCCTGAGTGTAACGTTGACCTTCCCGACACAAACAGTTTAATCACCTGAATCACCTGTTAACTAATTACTGAAGGCTTATGGGTTACCGACGCCCGGTGGGTAAATGTTTCTGATTTATGGCGTTAATTCACACATTATCCATCATGGTGTTATCCAAAGCTGACGGTGCGATATTGCTCCTCGGTGGGTGATGCTAACCTCCCAATACGCCGCCCACCCTCCCACCCAGTTGTGGCGGAGGTCAGGTATTCGTGTCAGGGATAATTTAATAATACTGTGGTTGTCAGTGCGGTGGTTCATCTTAATCACATGTCACACTCTATTATGGAGGACGACCCTCATTTGGGAGGCGAGGTGGGAGGTGTGAGGCTCAGAGTGTGGATGATGAAGTGGTCAAGGTGGTGCTGCGTCACCTGGCGTGTGTGGGGGTGGGTGGTGGTGGTGGTGGTCAGCTGGTGGTGTGGTAGTGGCGGAGTCGCTAGATGGTTCCCGCTGTGAGAGAGACGCCGGGAACTGTGTCCGGGTCACTGTGAGGCGTCTCCACCATCACGACAATGTTCACCTACCCCCTCCCCCCCGTCAGTAGGAGGGGCGAGGGTGTGGGTGTGTGAGGGCAGGGCTGGGCTGGGGTTTTGAGTCCGTGACATGTGTTGAACTGGCCCCCGTCCTGCACCTCCCCGCCCCGCCGCTCCCCCACACCTACACCCAGATCGTGATACACACAGTCACGACATACACTCAGGTAAAACACGCCCTCACACTGCTGCACTTTGTACTCGACTACTACAACAGCGTGTGGTTGTAACGTGTATACCACCCCTGTACACGTTACCAAGGCAACACCAGCTACTCACATAAACATCAAGTCGTTGCCAGTACGAGCGGTCATCAGTGCCTGGCGTGCAACTCGACCCAGCCAAGACGGTCTCAATGGAGGGGCGACAGACAGCAGTTCACTCTCCTGGTTGAGTGCAGGATGCGGGTGGTGACTAGAGTGTGTGTGTGTGTGTGTGTGTGTGTGAACTTGTGCTTTATCCGTGTATCTTTCTATCTTTGTTTGTTTGTGTGTGTGTGTGTGTGTGTGTGTACACCCGCATGAAGGATGGCGGGGCGTCACGCCTGGCCTCAGCCGCTCAAGACGAGCTGTAGCTAACTTACAATTTATAGCTGGCTGGGTAAACACACACACACACAGGTAAGGTCATATCAGAAGCCAGGGAGGGTTGAGGAGGTGCCGCTAGTTGTATCTGAAGGTGTAGGTACTGGTCCGCTTCTGTGAATTAACCATTATTGTCATCACCATATTGTTATTATTTGTTTATTATTTATTATTGTTATTTGTTTATTATTTATTATTGTTATTTGTTTGTTATTGTTGTTGTTGTTAATATTATCCACCACAACACCGCCAGGCTGGACATAACACGTCTAGTTACAGTAATTTTAGCGCAATTTCGTCGCCACTCTGCTGGATGTTTGTGTGGCGTCCATAACAATGGCCTGGGGGGGGCACGTGGGGTCTGGTAGCAGGTGTTGTGTGCCTGCATCCTGACATTATCTGATCTGCGGCTTTCTGTCTGTCTGTTTAGGTCATAAATAACGAACACAACTGAATCACTCTGTCTATCTGTCTGTCTCTCTACTGTATCTGTCTGTCTGCCTGTCTCACTGACCACCACCCACACCAAAGTTCTGAACTAAAATATGTTTGTTTTTTTCACCATCTGACGTGTCCAGGTGTTACGTTAACACCACCAACGTGTTTAAAATGAACAAATAAAATCGTGTAGAAATTGCCAGCTTTGTTTGTCAGCTTATCAAGAGGTAGAAGCTGTAACCACCCACAGGCTCTTATCTTTGGTGTATCTGATCCTTGCCTTGTATCTGGGCGTCACACACACACACACACACACACACACACACACACGAAACTTCTCAAAACGACGACAGGAGGGAGGCAGCGGCGGTGGTGTGTGTGTGTGTGTGTGTGTGTGTGTGTGTGTGTGTGTGTGTGTGTGTGTGTGTGTGACTCCTGAGACACACACACACACACGACACTTGAGGTGAGATGTTTGTTTACCGTGGCGAGAGTGACCATGATATTTTAGGGTCCGGTGTTCGTGTTATCTTCAGGTGATCATGGTTCATAAATTTATATATTGGGAGTGTGTGTGTGTGTGTGGGGGGGTGGGGGGTCATCTCGCAGACAAGTTCTGTTCTCTCTCTCTCTCTCTCTCTCTCTCTCTCTCTCTCTCTCTCTCTCTCTTCACCAGTCCTACTTGGCTCGGGGAACACAGGACAGTCGACTTAAAACTTGCTTGTCTTCGGGGACAGGACCTGGGGAGACGTACACACACACACACACTCCTTAGTTAATGTTTCCTAGTTCTTAACCTGTCATTAGCATCTCCAAACACGTGTGTACAGCAAGGTTGGCCTGGGAGAACGTGTACGTGTGTGTGTGTGTGTGTGTGTGTGTGTGTGTGTGTGTGTGTGTGTGTGTGTGTGTGTGTGTGTGAGGTAGGTGTGTGTGTGTGTGTGTGTGTGTGTGTGTGTGTGTGTGTGTGTGTGTGTGTGTGTGTGTGTACGTACCAGTTGTCCTTAACACCAGAATATACGTAACACACACACACACAAAGGCTGGTAGAGGTGTGGACTCAGGTGTGTTTCAGCGCGTGCCTGTCCCGGCCTTGCCTTACCTACCTGGTAGTGGGGGTACACCTTGCTTGGGTCCGTCCGTCCGTCCATCCATCTATCCGTCCGCCTGTCTGTCTGTCCGCCTGTCTGTCTGTCTCAACCCCTCTACCACCATCAGTTGACTAGTCGTTTATCTATGTTGGTATTGACGGGTTAGATCTACAGGGAGTGATGTGGACGGATGAACACACAGCTAACAACACCAACACCACACCAACACTACACCAGCACCACACCAACACCACCAACACTACACCAGCACCACACCAACACTACACCACACCAGCATCACACCAACACTACACAACACACACCAACACCACCAACACCACACCAACACCACACACCAGCACCACCAGCACCACACCAACACCACCAACACCACACCAACACCACACCAACACTACACCAACACCAGCACCACACCAACACCACACCAACACCACACCAACACTACACCAACACTACACCAACACCAGCACCACACCAACACCACACCAACACACACCAGCACTACACCAGCACCACACCAGCACCACACCAACACCACACCAACACCACACCAACACTACACCAACACCAGCACCACACCAACACCACACCAACACCACCAACACTACACCAACACCACACCACACCAACACCACACCAACACCACACCAACACCACACCAACACCACACCAACACCACACCAACACTACACCAACACCACACCACACCAACACCACACCAGCACCACACAGCACCACCCAACACCACACCAACACCACACCAACACCACACCAACACCACACCAACACCACACCAACACCACCAGCACCACACCAGCACACACCAACACCACAACACCACACCAACACCACACCAACACCACACCAACACCACACCAGCACCACACCAACACCACACCAACACCAACACCACACCAGCACCACACCAACACCACACCAACACCACACCAGCACCACACCAACACCACACCAACACCACACCACACCAACACCACACCAACACCACATACAAGTTCAAGAATAACAATATTAGTACACTTTCTACCCTCCCCCCTTCAATTAGTTTAGGTTAGGTCACCCTTACGTTAGGTTAGGTCAGATTAGGTCGCCGTTAAGTTCAGTTAGGTTAGGTTAGCAAGATCCTTCAGAGGCCGTGTTAGGTTAGGTTAGGTTAGGTTAGGTTAGGTTAGGTTACATGAAGACTTGACTCATTTAACTTAGTTGTGGTGGTCAGATATTCCTCCTGGTTGTCCTCGCCTCCTTGCTGCCGCTGTTTGAGGAATCATTATGTACCAGCAACACAGATCAGAGGTTCAAGAGACAGTTCGGGACGGTTCGGTAAAGGTTTGAAGGAGTCGAACTGTGAGAGGTTTAGTAAATGCAGAGACAAAGAGATGCTGATAAAAGTGTTTTGTTTTTTTCCATGTATAAACAAGTCGCTGGTGGGCGGGGCTGAAGGTGAGTAGGTAGTGTTTAGTAATTATTTAAGAGGAGGATTTATATGTGTGTCCCCGGGCGGCACACAGCACTGGTGACAAGGGTCTCCAGTGCTGTGGTGGGGAAGGATGTTGACGACGGTCCAGTGGTTCAGCGGAGAGATGATCCAGTACCTGCCTCACCTCCTGCTGGTGATGGACGCCCACACAACTCCGCGGGGGCGTTGAACCGTGTTTCACCAACAACCTCCGCGCATGTGTGTGTGTGTGTGTGTGTGTGTGAGACCTTGATTGATTTTGTGTGTAGCGTTTCAGGACACACACACACACACACACACACACACACACACACACACACACACTACCCCTGACTGGTGACTCTCTCCCTCACACCTCAGGGCTAAGAGGTTCACCTTCCTCATTGCCTTTGTTTACATACGGTACCTACCTGTGTGTTTACC